TGAAGCTAGAATTTCGGAACTTTGCATATAAGTCAATATTAGGGTGTAGTGCTGAGAAAAGGTTGGGTTTCTGGAAGTTCGAACTTTAAGTGTACTTACTGGTACGAAAAATAGAGAGTAGAGCAAGAGTTGAAATTTGGCATGAAGGACGCTAATGTAGTGTGGGATCATCTTTCGCAAATCAAATTTGGAACTTGGAACAATATATTTTCTTAAAAGTACTAAGAACAATAATTGTTGTAACATTCGGGTCTATGTGAGATCTAAATCTTGCAGTTTTGCAAGGTCTGTACTAAATATGGTACAATTTGTATTTGAGTGAAGGATGGATCTGGAAATTTGAAATATTGAACCATACTGGTAGGTAGAGTTGACATAAAGAGGTAGTTTTGGAAATTTTTACTAAAAAGTACTAAATTATAAAAAAGTACTGACATTTGGTATTTGGAGAAGGATTATTGTTTGAAAATCAAAATTCTGTATTACGATCAATTTTTGTGTGGAGGGGTTAAAAAATAAGGAGGATCTGTAAATACGTACGAAAAATACTAAATGGTATGAAATGTGGGTATTTGAGGAAGAACTAGAGCTGAAAGTCTGAAATTTGTAATGAGGCGTTTGAAGTTGTGTAGGATATACGGGTCAAAGTATTTTTGGAAATTTGAACAATATATGTACAAAAAATATTTAAAAGAGTTAAAAGCATAAATTTGGTACCATTTGGAATTATGTGAACGGATAAGGTAGAATCTTCAATTTTCAAGGTTGGGGAAGTTGGGTTAATATAAGAAGGTGGTTTTGATAATGTGTATTAAGGGTAAGAACTGTACTAAATGGTACTAAATTTTGTACACATTGGTTTTGGGAGAATTTATAAAGGTGAAGTGTTGTAATTTAATCTAGAACAATTAAAAAAGCCCCGGGTCGATCTTTTAATACTCTCCCACATTTGGAAGTAACTTGAAAATTAAAAAACAAATTGTAGAAAATTTCCATGTAAATGAAGACCGTTATATGGGAGCTATACGAAGGCGAGGACCAGCATAAGTATGTTTATACCCTACACCACATAGTGGTAAGGGTATTATGTCTTTGTGCATTTGTTTGTAACATGGAGAAGGAAACGAGATAGACCCATAGTTACTTTTGAGTACCTTCATAGAATCACTTTCTGAGTCGATTTATGCATGTCAGTCCGTCTGTCCGTCCGTCCGTCTGTCCATGTATTCTTGTGAACAAAATGCAGGTCGCATTTATTATCCGATTGAGATGAAATTTTCCAAACAATATTTTTTTGGCCCAAGAACGAACCCTATTGAAATTGGTGAGAATCGGATCAAATTTAGATGTAGCTCCCATATATATCTTCATCCGATTTCGGGTTAAATGTGCACCAAATGTCCACTATCAGTCCAAATTACCTGAATTTTGGCACACCCAACCGAGTTCGGCCTAGAAGCAAGTAAAAGAAAATCGGTTCAGATATAGCTATAGCTCCCATATATATCTTTCATCCGATTTGATCTTTAAGTCCCTCACATTCCTACTATGCACTCCACAACCGTGATATTTGGTACCAGGTATTAGATGGAGCACAGAAATAGCTGTTTTAAATTTTATCGAAATCGGTTCAAATTTGGATATAGCTTCCATATATATCTTCATCCGATTTCGGGTTAATTGGCCACCAAATGGCCGATATAAGTCCAAATGGACTGAATTTTAGTACATCGGACCAAATTCAGCCTAGAAGCAAGTATATCAAATTTAGTGAAAATCGGTTCAGATATAGATATAGCAACCATATATATGTTTCATCCGATTTAGTGTTTTAGTCCCTTACATTCGTAATATTCACTCCACAACCGTGATATTTGGTACCAGGTATTAGATGGAGCACAGGAATAGCTGTTTTAAATTTTACCGAAATCGGTTCAGATTTGGATATAGCTCCCATATATATCTTCATCCGATTTCGGGTGATTGACCACCAAATGGCCGTAATAGCATCAATTTTGGCAAATCCGAACGAAACCAGCTTAGAAGCAAGTACACCAATTTTAGTAAAAATCGGTTCAGATATAGCTATAGCTCCCATATATATCTTCATCCGATTTCGTGTTAATTTTGCATCAAATGGCCAATATCAGCCCAAATGGCATGAATTTTCGTACATAAGACTGGATTCAGTCTAGAAGCTAATACGTCAAATTTGGAGAAACCCGGTTCAGAGATAGCTATAGTTCGTAAAATGCACGATAGAATTAGATAGATTTTGATTTTGTACCAAATATCTCATAGAGCTCTGAAATGCCCTGTATAAACCTTTTTACGAGAGCTCTGCTAAATATGCATAGTGGTGTAGGGTATCATATAGTCGGCCCCGCCCGACTTTTGAGCTTTCCTTACTGGCTTTTTGTTATAGGCTGTAATATCGATTTCGAACTTCATTTTCAGTAAAACCTGCATAGACAATTTTCTCTCTTGATTTTAGTACCCATTACGAATTTCAATTACGAAATTTCAAACAAATCCGAAATTTCTATCAAATTTCAAAACTATATCCCAAATGCAGCGGAAAATATCTCAAACTATAGGGATTTCTTTGTATATGGTAAAACCTATATAAGGGACTTAACAGCATTTGGCTTAAGAACCCAAAACTAATTTGGAGTTTTGATCTACTAACGAGTGCTACCAAACCTATTTGGAATTTTTCTCCATCCAGACTGGCTGTTGAACAGCGAAATTATAAGAAAATTTGCAACGAATTGGTAAACGTATTAAATTAACCGTAAAACAAACACAAAGTTTTCACTTGTAGTACATAAATTTCGAATGCGATTTCCTTAAAACTATTGTACTTAGATTTACAATGGCTTTTGGTATAAAAATATTACTTCTTTTGATACCTTCTGCCTAAAACGAAATTTTATGCTACTTTCAGGCGCCAACTAAAAAAAAAATCGAGGAAAAATTGATTTAAAACTAAAAGAAGTTATTTTTTCCAAGCAATTTTTATCTAAAAATTTCGAATAGTGTGAAAGAGGAAGGTACTTTCCTACTCACTTATGGTTACTCTGCGATGCAAACTTTCAAGACGCCGATATAAGAATGTTTGGGAGGAGAATGAAAACACTCTGTGTTGAGATCATTTCCAAATCTCACTCCTGAGAAATAAAACACAACCGCTCGTTTGTGTTGCTGGTTTAAATCTTTGGTTACCATGAAAAACCGAATCGACTCTCTATAAACGAAGTATGACTCTTCCATAGCCGCCGTTATGTTGTTCATCTGATCCTGTATCTTCTTGAAGTTGGTATTTACATCTTCCATAGTAGTGCGCAGAATATTAATCGTAGATTCCACGACCGAGGTTTGTTTTTGCATCATAAACTTCAGGTTATATTGATTTTCCAATAAGTTTTGCAAGCTTTCTTCTATTTTTTTCCGATCTTCCGCATCCATAGTTCCGAATAGGACGTGCTGGAGTGACCCGATGAACTCTAATGGCGCTCGTTTGGGCCTCCTACTAGTTCTCGAGAACAAGAACTCGTTAGTGTCTTGTAGACTCCGAACCTGCCTCTCCATAGTTCTTAGAATATTGTCGCACTGCGGCTCGAATATCTGCAACTTTACGCATAGTGGCATCATCGTTTTTAACACGGTCTCGCATTTCTCCATGGATTCAAAAAATGGAAGCATATTAAAAACTATGATCATGTTCCATTTCGAGGCTACAACATTCACTGATCCAACCTGGTCCAAATATAGTGCGGTTGACTCCTGCAGCTCCGTGATATTGGTTAAGCTGTCAGCGACCGTAGGTTTTACTTGAGTTAAAGCAAGAAGCAAAAGCACTAAGTAGCCTGCCAGATTGCCGGTTCTCTTTCCATTGGAGCTGTCACGTTTTTCATCAGTTTTTACGCCTTCTAATGGGCACAACTTGTTCACGGATCTCTTTATCAACCCTGCTTGGGTTTTTAAAGTGGCGACTCTTACTAACCCATCCGGTCCTGGATGGACATCTTCGACTTTACCTAACGGCCATCGTCCAGGATGTGTTTCCTCATTCTTAACTATCACCACTTGTCCCCTCTGTATATTCTTCTTTTCGGTTTTCCACTTGTACCGTTGTTGGAGTGTTTCTAGATAGTTTGATTTCCATTGCTTCCAAAAACAATTTTTCATTTTCTGCACTTGCTTCCAACGATCTAGGGCTGTAATCTTGTGTTCGTCGCTCGTTTCTGGATAGCTTATCAAGGGCCTTCCGATTAGAAAATGTCCAGGTGTGAGGACTTCCACCTCGCCAGCATTATCATCCATGTTATAAAGCGGCCTCGAATTTAACACGGCCTCGATCTGATATAAAAGCGTAGACATTTCTTCAAATGTCAATTTACTCTCACCAATAACTCTTCGTAAATGATATTTCATTGATTTAACAGCCGCTTCCCATATTCCTCCGAAGTGGGGACTTGCCGGGGGGATAAAATGCCACTGCACTCCTTCTGTCGCTAATATAGGTGCTAGTGCGTTATTCTCCTTCATGGCGGCCTTTAAATCTCTATCCAAATGTTTAACTGTTCCAACAAAATTTGTGCCGTTGTCAGAATATATATGACTACTTTTACCTCTTCTGGCAAACAAGCGCTTTAGGGCCGCCAGAAATGCTTCTGACGTCAAACTGCTAACCGGTTCCAAATGAATTGCCTTTGTTGTCATGCAAATAAATACCGCAATGTATCCTTTATATGTTTTCTGGCCTCTGCCATTTGAACACTTCATGTATATTGGTCCTGCATAGTCTACACCACAATGTGTAAACGGTGCAGATACATTAACTCTATATTCTGGTAACATTCCCATTAGCTGGCATTGATTTTCTCGTTTATATCGTATACATTTGACGCAACCCCGATTCAGCCGTTTTACGTTGTTTTTCAACCCAATAATCCAAAATTTTCTTTTTAGCAAATGTTCCACTATCCGATTTCCACCATGGAGCGTTTTCACATGTGCGTCCTTGATAATTAGATCACTCAGCTCTGATTTATTGAGTATTATGGGATGTTTACGATTATACGCCAGCGAAGCTAACTGTAATCGACCTCCAACTCTCAACACGCCATTCTCGTCTAAAAAGGGATTTAATGAAGCCAGCTTGTGTTTGTGATCAATCGGCGTATTATTTTTTAGTCTCGTGACAATTTCTGGAAATTCTTGTTGTTGATGGCCTTTTATTAAAAACATTTCTGCAGCTCGTAATTCTTCCACAGTCAAGTAATCTGGAAAGTTTTTTCCGCGTAGCTTTGCGATATATCTGAGCACATACGCTATCACTCGCTTAAGTCGTGTAAACGATGAATAATCTTTTACCATATGATTGAAATAGTTGGGACCGCTGTTCGCATTTGTGACGGCCACATTGACATACACAGGTTCCTTTGTATCCCAGCTCTCTTCATCTCGCATTAACCACGACGGACCATTCCACCAGAGATTATTCTCTGGTAACTTGTCTGCTGATATCCCTCTGGATCCCATGTCTGCCGGATTTTCCTTTGATTTTACATATTGCCATTTGGCTGCTGGTACCCATTGTTGAATCTCCTTCACTCTTGTCCTTATAAATCGATCTTTACTAGAACTATTACGTATCCATGACAGCGCTATCGACGAATCACTCCACATAAATACATTTGCTTCTATTGACAAAATTTTCATAACCTTTGTCATAAGTTTCGCTAATAAATTCGCCGCACACAACTCTAGTTTTGGTAACGTCTTCCTATTTTTAATGGGATTGACTTTGCTTTTAGCTGCTACTAGCTGAACAACTCCATTCACTTTAACATAAACTACGGCTGCATAAGCCTTTGCCGATGCATCCGCGAATCCATGCAGTTGTGCTTCAGTTGAGCTGGATACGTGCAACCATCGAGGTATTCGAATCGAAATCAGTGAGTTTAGCTTACTCGTGAACCCTCTCCATTGTTTATTCAGCTCCTCTATTAGTACATTATCCCATCCAATATCCATTACCCATAGTTGTTGAATAAAAAGCTTCGCCGTTATTGTTATTGGTGTTAGCCATCCTAATGGATCGAATATTTTGGCCAAATAGGACAGGGCTTTCCGCTTGGTTATCCGTTGTTCATTGTAAAGTTGCGTTGTAAATCCAAATGTGTCACTTGCTGGATACCATTTCAGCCCCAACGTTTTTAAGCAATCATCTTCTTCTATGTGAAGTACATCATTCTCTCTCTTTGCGTCTATGTTTTTTAGGACATCACTATCGTTCGAAATCCATTTCCGTAGCTTAAATCCATATTTTGCTAGATGTTTATTTATTTTCTCCTGTAATTCTTTACATCTTGAAATAGAATCTGCTCCGGTTAACAAATCGTCCATGTAGAAATCATTTTGTATAATAGCGCCAATGTCTTTATCTTCACATTGAGATCCAATTTCGTCAAGCGTCTTTAACGCCAAAAACGGCGCACACGCCGTACCGTACGTCACTGTCGTTAATCTGTATTGTTCTACTGGACTTTCGCTGCTGGATCTCCACAACACATATTGGTATTCTTGGTCATCTTTATGTACCCAAATTTGTCGGTACATTTTTTCCACGTCTGCACTTATGACGAACTGATGTTTCCGCCATTTTGTAAGGATATCAAAAATATCTCTCTGCAATCTTGGCCCAGCGTAGAGAATATCGTTCAAGCTTCTTCCATTTGATGTCTTGGAAGACGCATCAAATACCACTCTTACTTTTGTAGTTATACTGCTTTCTCTGATGACAGCTTGATGGGGAAGGTAGTATTTTCCCCGTATTTCTGGCTCTACTCGTTCCATATGCCCCATACTAATATATTCTTCCATAAACTGTTGGTATTCCATTTTTAGTTCAGGGTTGGCGCATAATTTTTTTTCAATGTTCAAAAATCTTGCCATAGCTCTTTTACGTGAATCTCCTAATTCAACGTCTTCCCTGAAGGGAAGTCTGACCATAAACCGGCCATCATTCGCTAACGATGTTGTTGAGCCGTAATTTGATATACAAAAGTCATCCTCTGTCACTGCTTGATTGTCGCTCACCTCCTCTATCTCCCAAAATCTTTCCAGAGTAGTAGTTGCTACAATTTTCTTGCTGCTTCCCTTTTTTTCCGTAGTCGGTCCCGACAGTATCCATCCTAGCTTCGTCCTCTGCGCCAATATACTATCTTTTTTGTGAATACCATCTTGAAGGATTTCGTGGTAGACATCGCTTCCAATCAGCACGTCGATTCTATCTGACGACGTAAAGTCCGGATCTGCTAGCGTAAAATTTTCCCATTTATCTATATCGTATTCACACGTTGGATCCTGCTGAACTGAAGCCAACTCAGGAAGTACGACTGCCTCTATATTCACAGCGAAATCGCTTAAAAATCTGGGTTTCACTTCAATAATAACTTTCGATTTTGATTTACCGACGACTGCTCCTCCAAGTCCATGCAGTGTTACATCTGTTCTTTGCTTTGGCAACTGCAATATCTGTACGGCTTCCTCGCTGATTGAAGACGCCTGAGCACAAGGATCGATTAATGCTCTCAAGGTGATGTATTCGTTTTGCTTCGATTTTACTCGTATCTGTGCTGTTGCAATTAATACATGATGCATTTCTTTTATTGTGGTAAATGTTGATTTTCCTTTGTTGCCTCCTGAAGCCGATTTTTCAATATGAAGGCTGGTGTGATGTCTGCCATTACACATAAAGCAATTCGTTTTGCTAATGCATCTTCTTGTTGCCTTATGATTTAAACAGTTAGTGCACAGCTCGTTCCGTCTTACCCAATCAATCCTCTCCTTCACTGTTAATGTTTTATACTGCTGACATTGGTGAATCTTGTGCCCAAAACTTTTGCAATAACCGCATTTTATTTGATTTTCTTCGCTAAAGTGAGCGCTCGATGGACCAAATGTTTGGGAGGAGAATGAAAACACTCTGTGTTGAGATCATTTCCAAATCTCACTCCTGAGAAATAAAACACAACCGCTCGTTTGTGTTGCTGGTTTAAATCTTTGGTTACCATGAAAAACCGAATCGACTCTCTATAAACGAAGTATGACTCTTCCATAGCCGCCGTTATGTTGTTCATCTGATCCTGTATCTTCTTGAAGTTGGTATTTACATCCTCCATAGTAGTGCGCAGAATATTAATCGTAGATTCCACGACCGAGGTTTGTTTTTGCATCATAAACTTCAGGTTATATTGATTTTCCAATAAGTTTTGCAAGCTTTCTTCTATTTTTTTCCGATCTTCCGCATCCATAGTTCCGAATAGGACGTGCTGGAGTGACCCGATGAACTCTAATGGCGCTCGTTTGGGCCTCCTACTAGTTCTCGAGAACAAGAACTCGTTAGTGTCTTGTAGACTCCGAACCTGCCTCTCCATAGTTCTTAGAATATTGTCGCACTGCGGCTCGAATATCTGCAACTTTACGCATAGTGGCATCATCGTTTTTAACACGGTCTCGCATTTCTCCATGGATTCAAAAAATGGAAGCATATTAAAAACTATGATCATGTTCCATTTCGAGGCTACAACATTCACTGATCCAACCTGGTCCAAATATAGTGCGGTTGACTCCTGCAGCTCCGTGATATTGGTTAAGCTGTCAGCGACCGTAGGTTTTACTTGAGTTAAAGCAAGAAGCAAAAGCACTAAGTAGCCTGCCAGATTGCCGGTTCTCTTTCCATTGGAGCTGTCACGTTTTTCATCAGTTTTTACGCCTTCTAATGGGCACAACTTGTTCACGGATCTCTTTATCAACCCTGCTTGGGTTTTTAAAGTGGCGACTCTTACTAACCCATCCGGTCCTGGATGGACATCTTCGACTTTACCTAACGGCCATCGTCCAGGATGTGTTTCCTCATTCTTAACTATCACCACTTGTCCCCTCTGTATATTCTTCGTCCTTATCTATTTTTAGATTTACAATGAACCATTGCGTAGCTGTTTGTCCCTTCATTCAAGTGGTCTTGGCTACCTACTGGCGCATCGATAATTGTGTGTATGTGGGTCATGGACTTTATTATTTTACACATTACCATATGCGACAGCGCACAAGATCACTGAATTGTATACATGTGGTATTTTATGACCGCTGGGAAACTGATAATGTTTAAATATTTATTTTTAATTTTTGGATTTTCCCAGCGCCTCAACCGCACACAAAAGGATGTACAAAGTATTTTGTACAAAGAATTTTTAGCCCCACTTTTATAATCTGCTAGATTTTCCCTGTTATTATCATCATTCTATTTCAAAGTTATACTCTCCTGCTGGAAAAGACATTTGTGACATTTCGAGATATATACAGGGTGAGATAAAAAAAAACTGCAACGCCATCATTTTTAAATTATTTTTAATTTTATTGAATGAAAGCAAAAAATGTCTAAAATAGCATCACATTTTAGAATAAGAATCGAATTTCTCCAAATTTGATGTACTTGCTTCTAGATCGGATGTGCCAAAATGCAGGTCATTTGGACTGATATTGACCATTTGGTGCAGAATTAACCCAAAATCGCTTGGAGATATAGATGCAAGCTATATCTTAATATGAACCAATTTCAATAGGGTTCGTCTAGGTATATAGGTCCACATTTCGTATAGCCACCATATAACGGTACCTCCCAATATTCGGTATTTTTGCTGCATTATTTACTGGTATTTTTTAAGGTTCGTATTTTAATATGTAATGGCCTATGACAAAACTTGTCTATGTCTACATCTTCGAATAGACCCCAATCTAACGGTTATTCTCTATATTCGGTATTTTTATGATTGTAACAGTATTTTTCAACCATTTTATTTTTTTCGAAATTCCCTCCAAATGGTGGAGTGTATTCAAATTTCGGTCCGGCCGAAAGAATTGACTCTAACTTCATATGTCAGTGTCTCAGTAGGTAGAACCGGGGTCCCCAATTTAAGCAACGGCTTTAAAACCGCTTAAACTTAAAAATATTTTCACTTCTTGCTTCCAACATAATTATAAACAACTTTTAACTTATTTAAGAACGCACATTATTCATTATTAATATCCTTTAAAAATCACACATACACAAACACCTATTGTCAACCCCAACCCATAGACCTCCAAACTCCAGGCATACAATCACACCAATTTCGCAGATCCTTTAAAATTTAAAGTTAAACAACAAACTCACACACACACATCCGTACAACATATAAATCGCTGTGACATTTTCTGCAAAGTGGAAAAGCTTGCACAGAGCATAAAAATGTACGAAGCCATACTAAAACAAAATAAACAAAATCTCAAAAATTACATTATCGTGTAATTACATTAGGTTTAAGTCCTCAACATTGCGTGCTCTTGACGATGAGGAAAAAATAATAATAATTTCATTAATATTCGTGTTGTTGTTGTTGTTCTTGTTCTGTATTTTCAGCTTTGTTTTCTCCTTTTTGTTTTTTGAAGAATAATGGCGATGTCGTCGCTGAAATTATCAACGGGAAACGGAAAAAGTTCAACATGGATGAGCAAAAAACGGCAGCAATTCAGCCATCCGCAGCAGTACATCAAACATCAACAGCTTCTGTACCCATGCCGATCCCGACGAAGCCGTTGGTGTACTAATAATTTGCCACGTTCATATCATGCGAAAATTTCCAGTACATCGTCCTCGTCCTCGTCGCCGTTGTCGTTGGCGTTGAGGAATAACGGTAGTTGTAACAACAGCAGCCGTCCCAGCTGGTGGTGGCTTATGTTGCTGGGTACATTTATGTCCTTATTGCCGCTCAACGTAATGGCCAATCGTAAGTTATCTGTTTATTTATTTATTTGTGTTGGTGTGTGTATGTGTGTGTGTAACTATGGCACACGGTCTTACCTTTTACCTTAAATTATCATCGTCCCCTTTTTCGTGGCTTAATTTTGTTTTTATATTTGTAATAACATTGTGGAAAATTTGTTGTTGTTGTTGTTTTTATATTTTTTATGTTCACCTCCATCCTGGTGTCAGGCCCAGACAATCTAAAGTAACTTGTTATCAAATGTCAGAAATTATATCGAGATTACAAAAAAAAATAAATAAAAAAAAAAAAACGGAACAGGACATATGTTTGTTTTATCCTTCCTCAAGCTGGATATTTCAGAAGTTTAAAAATATGTCAAAACAAGTTTTTTTTTGCCAGATAAGGATCTCCTTATTGTGGTATCTTAAGATTAGCTTGGAGGGCTTGCTGTTGTATCATCAAAAATACCCAGCAGTCCGCTGGCCATTACAATTTAATACCCATCCAAATGTATGCTATATTGTCAATAGGAAAAAATGAAATAACAGTGGTTAATAGCATACAACTAGCATCCGAATCGGATGAGTCGTATTGCTATTACATTGTGAAACAAAATCCATGTTAGAATTAAAGAACAAAAAAAAAAAAAATACATTAAAAAGTGTTCATCGCACTTGCATCTGAATCGGATGCCTTTGTATTGTTTTGTAACTTTTGTAACTTATTGTTGCAGCTGCTGTTGTACGGTTATTCATTTTTGATGCTTCTTTCTTTTTTGAAGCAAAATTTTATTCTGTGAAGTGTTTTTGAAAGTGCAAGTTGTGAATATTGAAAAAAGTTAATAAAATAAATTAAAAAACTAAGAATATAGTAAGTGTTGTGTGTTAAATAAGTTAAATAAAATGTCAGGATTCAGTAGGAGAAATTTAAGACGATTAAAGAAAGTGGAAGCAGATAATTTAAAAAGAAATGCACAGTTGAGGACGGAATGTTTGGAAAACAATGATATTGTACTAAATGAGCAGATTCCATGCATTCCAAAATTGTAGAAGATTTTGGAAAATATGTAAGAATATTAAAAACTCTCCGTTATAATCCATTAATAATTTAATTTCTTTCAGGTTAGTATCATAAAAATTATAATTTCGTCAGATTAAAAACTTTGCAAGATTAATGACATATCTATAATATTATCTTACTGCTACGATGGTACCCAAAATAAAAAGGCGTTGAAGGAATATAAATTCTAATCATGGCCATTTTCGGTAAGTTAATTTTTTTCTTACAGATTTATTGAAAATTGATATTATATTACCTTAAAATGTAGTCCAGTAGTCTATTCTATAGTATAACAGTTTAATATTAAAAAATTGTTCTATATTTTCTATCCTTATTTCAGAAGCTGTCATATGTGAAGGATTCAATGAACAGGATTACGCCAAAAAAATTAGAAATTGTTTCAAATTCCCTAGCGCCAGACACTTCCTACAATAAAAAAAAAACTGGAAAAATTTAATTTTTTTCCTTTAGTTTAAGTTTTATTTCTTCCCACGTCTTTTGAATAAGTTTTATGAATTTCGTTTTTATGCATTATTCTAATAATACACTGTTAATAATACCAATATTTTAATAAAAACAGCTGAAATTTAAGTTCCACAATCTAAAATGTTGATGGAATCGGACCCATCCAACCTTCGCTTACAATGTTGATAGATTTCGGACCCATCCAACATTCGCTTACGTTGTCGGTCGATTTCGGACCCATCCAACATTCGCTTACATTGTCGGTAGATTTCGGACTCGTCTGACAGCCTAGGCCATCGCTGTGTAAATGTAAGTAGAAATTGTATACAGGCTTTGGATGGGTCGCACCTACATTGTCATTGGTCTCAGATGGAAGATGTATGTGCTAAAAAATCCGCTGGGTAGTTACTCCACTTAGAGAGAGAGAGAGAGAGAGAGAGCGGAAGTGAGGGGGAGAGAAAGAGAGAGAGAGAACGAAAGTGAGAGGGAGAGAGAGAGCGAAAGTGAGAGGGAGAGAGAAAGAAAATCAAAAAATTGTCCGGTTCTCACCAAGTCTGTGGAGTCGAGCCATTTTTAATCGACTTCGACAAAATCCCGTTAGTCCGAAGATTATTAAGCAATATCCTTCTGTTTGTTTGTCTATCATTTTGTTGGTTTGCCTCAGACCTCCCAAAAACTTGCTCAATTTTGCTTAAAGAGTGAAACTCACTTGAATTCGCGCGAGTATGCTCTAAATTTCCGAACAAGAATGTGTCAGGAGTGATCCCACCCAAGACAAAAGAGTGAAGAGTAGACTCCGTAAAAAAAACTCCCACCCGTTGAGAAATCCTGTTCACAAGCGAGTTTCGCTCCCTAGTGTAAATGAGTAAATCTGAGCTGTGCTTGAAATCAGTATTCAGTATTTTGAAGTTTTCAATGACTACAGGGCACATTATATTTATATCTTCTCCCAGAAGATTTGGAGTTACTTTGACTAAATTTGGGAAACACGCAGGATGGCGCTAAGGGAATTGGACCTGCTCCTAAAATACCATTTTTTTTGTGATTTTTATACCCTACACCAAACTGTGGTGCAGAGTATTATGTTAGAAGTTAACCTCCATAGAATAAAACACTGATTTTATTTATACACACCCTCTGTCTCTCTGCTCTATGCCCAAGCACGAATCCTTCAAAAATATTGTCTACCAAGTGTGTAATTTCAGCCCCGAATTAGATGGATTTTGGCACATACGACCGAATTCAGCCTAAAAGTACTTTTGTCAATTGGTAGAATCGGCTATAGCTCACATATATATATATGTTATATTCGATTTCATATTTAATCCCTCAAAGCCGTAATACAGGATGAGATAAAAAAACTGCAACAAGGTCAAACGCCATAATTTTTACTTTTTTTTTAAATTTTATTGAATGAAAGCTGAAATTTCGAAAATAGCATAAAATTTTAGAATAAGTTTAGATTTGTTCAAATTGGTCACCTTTGGCTCGAATTACGGCCTTCAAACGGCCAATGAAACCATCACACGCTGCCCGAATGTTGCTCTGCGGTATTTTAGTCCATTCCCGACGAGGCGCTTGATTGAGGTGATCGACACTCTGGTATTTTTTAGTGCCAACCTTGCTTTTCAAAATACTCCAGACAAAATAGTCCAACGGATTGGTATCCGGAGATTTTGGTGCACTGGAAATGAAGCGAGGAACCTTATTTTGTAACCATTCTTGGGTGGTGCGTGTTGAGTGCGATGGTGCTGAGCCCTGTTGGAATGTCCAAGGTCTGCGGCCAAAATGTTTGCGTGCGTAAGGCTTTAATACATCCTCCAGAATATTTTCGAGATAATATTCAGCATTTTTTCTGATGCCTCCGTCGATTTTTACGAGCGGAGAGCGACCTTCGGCTGTTATGGCTGCCGCACCATCACCATACCCGACGCTTGAGTTCTGGTGGCCAACCGAAGGTGCGCATTTGGTGGTGACCCTTTTTGGCAAGTAAACACGATCACTTTGTTTGTTTACAAACTGGACTGCTGGACAACGAATGTTTTCTCATCGGAGAAAACCAAATTCGGCAGTTCACCACTTTCGGCCAAGCGAAGCAACTCTTTAGCTCTTTTGAGTCTATTTTCTTTCTGTTGCGGTGTAAGTTCTTGCATTTTTTGGAATTTCAATGGCTTTACCTCGAGCTCACTTTTCAAGATTTGTCAAATGGAATATTGCGATATGTAATTCGGCCACTGCGACGCGGGTTTCGATCAAGTCGTTTCTTTACTTTTCGAACCATTTCTGCTGATGATGTTTTTTTCGTCCATTCCTTGACGAGCCACAAAAGATGGTAAAGGGTGTTTTTTATGTCCGATAGAACTTGAAATTGTAAAAAATAACACAAAAAAATTTAATTTTGTTAATTTGTTTTATTCGAAAGATCAATACGTGACATCAACATTTGAAAATGATTTCGGACATATAGGCACCGCGGCTGTTCTTGACGAAGTGCATTCTGGACGTCCAATTTTTGGCCACTTTTTCGAGCACTGCTGGCCGTATGTCACGAATAACACGAACAATGCTGGCCTACAAGGCGTCAATTGTTGCTGGTTTATTAGCATAAACCAGTGACTTCACGTAGCCCCACAGAGGTGTCAAATCGCACGACCTTGGAGGCCAATTGACAGGTCTATTTCTCGAAATCAACTCATCGGAAGATATTGATTTCAATAAGTCGATGGTTCCATATCAATGTCATCCATATTTTTAAACAAAAATCATTGATCATGGTGCGGTAACGATCTTCATTGACCGTAACGCGAGCTCAGGCCCCATTTTTGAAGAAATAAGGCCCGATGATGAAACCAGCGTGCATACGGTGCATTTTTCTGAATGTAATGGAGTCTCTAGGGTCTCTCCATATGCGGCAATTTAGCTTTTTAACAAACCCATTAAGCCAAAAATGCCCCTCATCGCTGAACACAATTTTGCGATAAAAAAGGGTCATTTGCCAACTACTCTAGAGCCTAATTAAAAAAGTAAATTCGGATAATTTTGTAGCGTTGTTCAAGCGTGAGTCTATTCATGATGATTTGTCAGAGTATGAAACAAATAAAAAACAAGTAAAAAACATTAAGTTCGGCCGGGCCAAACTTTTAATACCCTCCACCTTAGGGTAAAGGAAACATTAGAAGAAATGTAGCAAAAACCATTAAAATGCCGAATATCGGGAGGTACCGTTATATGGGGGCTATACCAAATCATGGACCCATACATGCAATGTTTCGCCAACGGAGCTAGAACCCATTATGACCTACTAATACCAATTTTCAGATAAATACCTGAAAAAAATGTGGCAAAAACCATCAAAACACCGAATATCGGGAGGTACCGTTATATGGGGGCTATACCAAATCATGGACCCATACATGCAATGTTTCGCCACCGGAGCTGGAACCCATTATGACCAACAAATACCAATTTTTAGACAAATCCGTTAAAAAAAATGTGGC